TTTTTTTTTTTGTTAGTTACTTATCGAGGCTATATGTTTAGCCCAAATGCACTCACATTCACTTCATAACTAATAAACTAATTGTTACTGTAGGAGGAACTTCAAAAAGAAGGAATATGGGACTTTGATTGCTTCAATCGACTATATATATTAGGCAAAAGCTTTTAGAGGTAATAGATTTTTGTATACTCATTTTCTTCTACATTTTGATTTCCCTCAAATTTGCAATGCGAGTAATGCTATTGAATTTCAACTTCTACCATCTTTAGTAGTGAGAACATGGTAATCGACTTCAAATCCTCCAATTGTGCACTTATATGATTAGTCATGAACCATTCATTATACACCACAATACTTTTTATGCTTATTTGTTATTTCCAAAATTATATTTTTATTGTCCAGTTCTTTTGGGCATATATGTTCTCACGATGAAATGGAAACTTGTCGTTTCTTATTCCCTTAGTTTCAAAATTTGGATAGACATCCGTTTTTCCTCCAGTTTCTTTGAACGGTGTTTTTATTCTCCACAATTATCTTTGCTGCTTTATTGTTTGGTTATGCTTTTTCTGGGTTACAGATGATTTTTGATAACTATTTTCATTTCTGCTTGCTAATTATCTGGTCCCTCCTTTTTTTCTCATCATCTGTTGGATCTACTATGCAACTTTATAACTCTTGTGACATTTTGGATTTTGCTTTCTCATTAACCTACAGAATAAAGGGAAAGTTTGGTTCTTAAATTTGTAGGGATCAATATTTTCTGGTCTAAATATTGCCTTTCAATGATTATATGTGAAATCTATATTTGAGTTCTTCATATTTTAGCAAAAATTTTCTGGTGCATGTCCTACTAATAGAAATAATGAAATAAGAAGATGTATTCTCTACGTGGAAGATAATTTTGTTTAGACTAAATCTTTCATAGGAGAAAAATTCCTACTGTTTTCATGATAACTTCCAGTGTTGTAGTATGATTCTATATTTTGCATTCACAATTCCTTTTCATGTTGAAATTTTCAAATATAAACCTAATTCTTGTAGTAAAACTTTGAAATATTTAACTACTCTCGAGCCCTCATCTTGCAGCCAACTCTCAAATACATATATCGCAATCTCTTTTTTGTCGGAGGTCAAAATTTTGTACTTCATAAATTAATTTGTTCCATTGTCTAAAATGCATGAAACTAACACTCATCTACAAATGACCATTCAATCGATAAACACAAATTCCCCCAAAACTTTCATATTCAAAATGCTAACGTACAAAAAAATACAACCCATCCATTGCATGGTCAATGCACAAGTTTTGACAAAAGAGTTTAATATTTCTTGAATAATTTGTCCTAACTCTGAAAGAAGTTTTGTGACATGAATAAATTATTTTGAGACTCTAACTCAATCTCATAGCAAGTTTAACCTACAATGATGCTATAAATTGAGAGAAGAGGGAGTAAGAGAGAGATTGAAAGCACAATAAACTTAAAATTTTTTAACAAAAATCTGCTGTCACAGCAAATACTTAAAATGTTTAACCGAAAATTCTACGACCAAATTCTTCATGCTTTTCTTGTTCTTTTGTTCAATCTTTGGGGCTTTTTCTATATAAATCCTCGCATTTGTATCTTTGAAAAAAAAGGTCAAAAAATTTTGTGGTGCAAGGATGATGATGATGGAAATAAATAGGATATTTATATCATTTTACTCGCGATTACTTAATTCTTATGGAGCACCTAATACTTATCGTGATGATAATATAAGTACCTTTGATGAATAAGAGATAACCTAATTGGAGGACAAATTTTAGACTCATGAATCAGTTTAGGCAGCCATGTCCTTACTTGAAAATGAATCCCTAGAAAAATCTGGGATTTCCAAATCAGAGGTCTAAGAGTTGGAATGCGGAAGTGAAATTTTCTAGAAATTAAAAAAAAAAAAATCAATAAACAAGATCGTCTAGACGTTGTTCACGTGCATGTTATGTCAAGAATAAATGAATCGAACTTTTACCTAAATTCGATGATCAATGCTTGAATTAATTCTGAATCTCGAATTTAGAGCTTTTTGGATGATGAACTTCTAGCTTTTTAATTCCAAGAACTTAATATTTCAAACGTCCAAGTCTTTAATAGTATTCTCCAGAATCAAGACTACATCGGTGGGTGGGTAATTGTCGTGGAAATTCTTCGATAAGTCTTGATTCCGGGCTCAGAAAACAACCAAACGAACACCAATTTGTTAAGATTTGCGGTCCATCTTAATAAGGTCAACCTTATTAAGAGGAGTAGCCAAAGATCTATTTAAATTGGTCAATATTTCAGTATTTAACCGATGTGGGCTTTATTCCCTTAACATGCCTCCACAAGATGATGACTCTTTTTTAGCAGACCAATCTTGAAATCCGTGTACTCATTTTTGAGACTTAATCGGATCGAATAGCTCGTTGGAACTTACTAGGCTCTGATACCGTGTTAAGATTTGGGATCCATCTTGATAAGGTCAACCTTATTAAGAGGAGTGACCCAAGATCTATTTAAGTTGGTTAATATTTCGGTATTTAGCCGATGTGCGATTTATTCCCTTAATACAATTTACCTTGGCTCGACCCAAAGCTTCACCTTCACTTTGGACTGCCCCAAGCTCTTTCAAACCCCACAAAGGAGAAGTGATGGTGGTGGTAATAGGAAGAAGAAGAGGCAACAATAGGGGGAATCACTCCAACAAACCCCCCAAGCCGGCTACCGTCAACCCTCTTGACCCTCTCTTCCACTCTCACACACTGACCACCACAAAAAGGGCTGCAAGAAGATGGGTATATATAGGATATGTTAGGTACACAACTTGGGGAAAAGGCTTATGCAAATGGGCTTCTACTTAACCTAAACAAATGGGCTACCAATTAATCCAAAACCTACAATCTAATAACCCAACTACTACTTGGACCATCCACAAGTTTAGGTTATTTTTGAGTCGAGCCAATTCCATGGTATCGATAAATAATTTAACAACTGTTTTAAATCATCTCCCAGATAATTCAACAACTGTCTTGATCCTTGGGAGCTCACAAACGCATCTAACAATGTCCAAAACCGATGTTATTTGAAAATTCTGCCACAAGATTTGATTTCTTTCTGTAAAACGAGCCTCTATAATCAAATGCCTAAAGCTATTCCAACTAATTTACTAAGAAATAGCAGGAAAAATCAGTGTCATATCACTTTATGGTAATTTCTTCAATCATTTTAGATGAATTAACGTACCCATAATTCTCCAAAAAAAACAAAAAAAAAAAAAAAAAAAAAAAAAAAAAGAAAAAAAAAAAAAAAAAAAAAAAAAAAAAAAACCCCTTCTTCCATGGAAAATATTCCTGATCCATAAGTAGAATGCATAACATCAGCCAACAAAGGAAACTGTAAGAACGCAAATAGCGTAACTGGAACACAAGCTGTGAGAGCAATCGGGATAATAATCCAAGCCAGTTGATGTTGATGTCCAACCACAATGAAAAAGCTTGCACTAAAAGCAAGTAGCATTGATGCTATCGAAAAGAAAAGTGTTGTTAGGCCAATAATCAGCCTCTTCGGCAAAGACTCAAGGAAATCTTCTTCAGCATAACTCGAGGTGAGGATAGATAAGAACATCAATATAGATGTCACAGAGGAGAACAGAGCTAGTGCATCTGACATGGAGAAAATTATAAATGACTTGTCCTTAAGGAACATAGGGGTTCCTGTATCATTGTTGTTGCCTCCTGGTACTGTAAAAATTGCGGCAAACATTACTGTAGTAATAAGTGTTGCAACAAGCATGCAGGATGATGCTGTATCCTTCATCCATTTCTCCCCACTCTCTACTAATCCCTTGTGTTCCTGAGTAAATAGCATTTGGGGTGTTCTACCTTCTGAGTCTTTCATTTCCTTGTATAATGGCAGCATATTCTTCTCAACTTCCTTTGAATGTTAATAAGAAGAAGAGTCAAAACACATGGAAAGCAATTTTAATTAACTTAAACGGGAAAGAATAAAGTTTGAATACAATTTGAAAGTCACCTTAAACCACAGCAACTCCCGTTGCATTTGAAGTGCTGCACCAGAGACAATATTAAGTCTGTTTGAAGGAGCCAAGTTTGCAGCCAAGTGCAACATGTTACAATTGCTGGGGTTCTTATAGGATGTGATCAAATCTTTGTATGCTCCTATGTCATAAAGAAGTTTGAAGATTTTTTCTTGGCGATGAATAACTGCAATGTCAAAAATGCTTCGACTTTGCTCATCAACTTTCCAAATGAGATCAGGACAGGAGAGAAGAAGCTCCCTAATGAACTCAAAGTTTCCAAATTCTGTAGCTATGAACAATGGTCGTGAAGGGCTTCTGAGTAACTTCCCAATTTCTGAATCATCCAATAAGAAGAGAACCTGTTTCCACAAGAATTTTACCAATTCCAGGGCTTGGGATTGCATCAGCGTTTTCTCAATAACTCCCTGGATTCCTAGATTTATAAGGAAACAAAAGTCAAATCACCAAAGTTGATGAACACGCTTATTATGGGACTTGTAATGCATTCTATACCTGTTAGGTTCATAACAACATTGAGAAGTCTGAAGTTGCTAGTACGACCAGTCTTGTTCAACAGTTTTGCACTCACACCTGAAATATAGCTTGATGTTGTAGAATTCTAGAATACTTGATTCAATAAAGAACACAAATGAGAGTCCCTTTTCAGTTTGCCATGCTTTGACAGATTAACATATTGATTACAATTTAAACAGAAATGAAAAATCTTACAGCGGTAAAGACATCTCTTCCAGATTCCTAGTTCACTTTTGCCTGAAAATGCTGGAGTCTTTCGTGCTAGAACATGAAGTGCTGTCTCGCCACTGGGATCTCTTTCAATGGCTAGTTCTGGTTTCTGTTCAAGTATATGCAGAGCAACATCTGAAAAATGTAAACAGTTTGCCTCATCTATGCTGTTTTTTAAAATTATTTATATATACGTTTGTGGATCGAATGCTATCTCACCATATAAATCAGAGCTAATGGTTGCAATTAGTAGCCCAACATAGTCCTCTTTGGTAAGAAATTGGCTATCCGTTACCGAAGAAATATACCAGACCATGTCTCTGTATCCCAATAAAGCAGCAATGTGTAGGGCTGTCACTCCATTGATACCTCTTATCATAGGCAAGTATCTGTTTTTTGCTACCATTAACTCTGCAATTTTTGTAATACCAGATGCAACAGCAAAGCAAAGTGCAGTATTTTCGTACTTATTTTTAAGTGCCAAATCCAATGGATCCATCATTTTGACCAATTCTTCTACAAATATTATCCGTTTTGCGCCTGCTGCAATATGCAGAACACTTTCCCCTCCGTTTGTGATCCTTGCAGTTATTGCTTGAGGATGTAGATTGAAAAATTCTTTTGCTTCTTCCCAATCACCCTTGAGTGCAGCAAGGTACAGAGGCACATACAATGCAAGGTTCCTGGCTGAATTAGTCCGCTCTAATGTTAATGAACCAGAGGCCCAAGTCAGAAATCCAATATACTTATGTTGGTCATAGTCTACAAAATGACGGCAGCGACAGAGAAATCCAGTAGAAAATACATCATTTTTTTCTATTCGACTATTGGCAATATAAAAATATCATGTGGAGGTTATTGGCTCCCTCCGAATTTAGCCATAGAATATTATGGTAAAAAGGGTTTACTTACCGGCTCCCTCCGAAAATGAAATACGATGTGCTTGTGTCCCAGTAGGAAAGAACTGCAAGGAAGTGTGATTTGGGATTTGACCATTGGAACAGTGGGTTGGCTGAACTTAAACGAAAGGGTAAGAAGTGATTCCAGTGTTGTTCAAATCAGGTTCTTCGGCACCACCAGAGGCTGGGATGCAGTTTAGTTCCCGGAAGCAGGACTGAATAGAAAGAGTTCTCTGAAGTTGAAACTTACTCGAGTTTTCCATCACTCGCAACCAGATCAACTACTACTTCAAGCTATGGAAATAAATAATAGCCAGAAATTAAGAAGCTAGAATGAATTTCTTCAATATGAAGTCAACTCCACCATTTCTAGAAACTTACCATTAGTTGAAAGTTTTTTGAGCAAGATAATGCTCAATCAGTGCAAGGAAAATTCCTGAAAGATGTGTGACATGAAGAAAATAATACTAACACTTTATAAAAAATAATTTCAAGTCATAATCTTTGGAAAGGTAAAAGATATATTCGACTCGTTTGGTCACATCTAATCTTTGAAAAGATAAAGATGGCACATAAAGTTATAAACTTTTTGACACCACTACTAATTTTGAGCAACTTCTACAATTAATTTATTGGCTTTTTCTGTCAATTTATTCGCATTGACAGAGACATCAACCCCCCTTCTTCTTCTTCATTTTTTTTTTGTCAAATATTGACAGAGACTTTCTGTCAATTTATTCGCATTGACCGAGACATCAACCCCCCTTCTTTTTCTTCTTTTTTTTTTTTTTTGTCAAATATTGACAGAGACTTTGTGTCAATTTATTCGCATTGACAGAGACACCAACCCCCCTTCTTCCTTCTTTTTTTTTTTTTTTTTGTCAAATATTGACAGAGACTTTCTGTCAATTTATTCGCATTGACAGAGACATCAACCCCCCTTCTTCTTCTTCTTCTTCTTTTTTTTTTTTTTTTTTTTTTTTTTTGGTCAAATATTGACAGAGACTCTCTCTCAATTTATTCGCATTGACAGAGACATCAACCCCCCTTCTTTATTTTTTATTTTTTATTTTTATTTTTTGTTGTCAAATCCACCCTCCCAAAAAGAACAAGAAATATCGGGAAAACAGAATTTGGTGGATTCAGTTTGACTTTGTCGTTTTGATTATATTTTATTTTGCCATTTGGATTTACTTAGTTCTAGCTATTTATTTATATATTTACAGTTAACGCCGCTATCCTTGCTTAAATTAACAATTTTTTTTAATTTTTTTTTTACGGGCGGTTCATGGTAGGGACTTTTTTTTTTTTTTTTTTTTTTTTTTTTTTTTTTTGGGCTCATTCGGGACGGGGTAGGTTTTTTTGCCATCTTTACTCTCTAATGACTTAAATTTTCAAAACTCTGCAGCGATGAATAATTATCGTAAAGGGAGGCCAATAACTAAATCATATTCATTAAGGTTTCCAACGTGATTAAGCACTTTGATTAAATGTTTCTATAATGCTACTGTTAATTTTACTTGTTACCCAACATTATAATCACACCATAATTAATATCAATTTTAAAATGAAAACATCACAACAAATTTACAGTTACAATCCTAACCCAATAAAAATTAAAAATGCATTTTTTTTTTATATATAATGTATTCTCCATCCAAAAATTGCTCATTATTTCCCTCATCTTTCCCCACCCATTCTTCATCACAGATTTTCCCCATCCACCCCTAGTTTAAACTAATAAAATTGGAGGAAAGGTAGAATAATATTCACTTTTAACACTCAAATTTATAATGGCAGAATGCATGAAGAGAATTCTCTGAACTTCCCCATAGAATTTCAGATCCATTTCCTAATTTGCATTTAGATTTTTTGACATAAAAGATGTGAAAAATAAACATGCAAATCTACTTTATTTATGTTCTTCGCTTATAATTTTGACAAAAGAGTTTAATATTTCTTGAGTAATTTGACCTAACTCTAAATGAAGTTTCATGACAAGAATAAATTATTTTAAGACTCTAACTCCATCACATAGCAAGTTTAACCTACAATTATACCATAAATTGAGAGAAAAGGAAGTAAGAGAGAGATTGAAAGCACAGTAAACTTATAATTTTTTAACAAAAATCTGCTGTCACAGCAAATACTTGTAATATTTAACTGAAAATTCTACGACCAAATTCTTCATGCTTTTCTTATTCTTTTGTTCAATCTTTGGGGTTTTTCTATATAAATCTTCGTATTTGTATCTTTGAAAAGAAGTTCAAAAAATTTTGTGGTGTAATGATGGTGATGGAATGAATAAATATATCATTAAACAATAAACAGGATATTTATATCATTTTACTCGCGGTTACTTAAATAAATAAGAAAATTGTGGAGCACCTAATACTTAGAGTGATAATAATATAAGTACCTTTGATGAATAAGAGATAACCGGATTGGAGGACAAATTTAAGACTCAGGAATCAATTTAGGTAGCCATGTCCTTACTTGAAAATGAATCCTTAGAAAAATCTGGTATTTCCAAATCAGAGGTCTAAGTGTTGGAATGTGGAAGTGAAATTATCCAGAAATTAAAAATAAATAAATAAATAAATTCAATAAATAAGATCATCTAGACTTTTACGTATATGTTATATCAAGAATAAATGATTCGAACTTTTATCTAAATTCAATGAACAATTCTTGAATTAATTCTGAATCTCGAATTTAGAGCATTTTGAATCACGAACTTCTAACTTTTTAATTCCAAAAACTTGATGTTTCAAACCTCCAAGTTTATAATATTATTCTCCAGAATCAAGACTACATTGGTGGATGGACACATTTTTTTAATTAAATAAAGAAACTAATTCTTGATCTGGACAATTGGGAAAAAAAAAAAAATATTTCCAAAATTTGAATACCATGAAATTATGTATTATGATTTTATACAATTATATAGGATGTCTAGATTCTATCTAATCTCTTTTTATAGATATATAAAAGTTCCAATTCTTATACAATAATAATTCAACATTTAAGTAGGAGTTCTAACTAAAGTCCAAATCAAATTAATTTATATTTGATTACATGCTTAGCCTTGGAAATTCAATTAGAATTATAATTAAGTTTACAACTTTCATAGTAATTATAATTAAGTACGAAACTTTATTTTAATTATAATTAAGCCCATAACTATTATAGTTACCGTAATTAAGTTCTAATACTTTATAGAACTACCATATACTCTATATATAAATTTAGTATCGTTTTATTTGGTTACCAAGATTATAAACGAGAGCCTCTAAGAGGTTCGTACATGATCTCGATTTGAGTGTATAACTTTTGTCTAGATATCTAGCTACTTGAAAATAATTTCGCCATCTATAAAATGGTCACAAATTATATTCTTATTTAGATAATTTTACCGTGACGGAATTCAATCAAACAACTTGAACTACGTGGCCCTCCTACAGGAAGTTCATTATATTATTGGCACGAGATAAGCACGATACTTTGCTTATGGATTGACCAAGGGAGACCATCAGTTTTTATTTGAATAAACACTCGCTCCACTCAATATTTTTAAGTGATGGATTTTAATAATAAATAATTACCAATTGTTCACATTAATTAAATTAATATACAGTATAATTATTATGAATTTTTTGTCCAAAAAAGTTTAGTCTAAATTAAATTGATCAAGAAAAATTTAAATAATTATAAACTATTGATATTGATCAAATTAATATACAGTTTTAGAAAAAATTAATTTAAGTTAAATTAATCAAGAGAAATTAAAATAATTGTCAACTTTTCACATTAATCAAATTAATATACTTCCTTCCCAAAAAAATTAATCTAAATTAAATTAATCAAGAATAATAATAAATAATTATCAACTGTACACATTAATAAAATTAATATAGAGTTCAATTATTACTATTTTTCCATCTAGAAAAATTTAATCTAAATTAACTTAATAAAAGAAAAGTTCGTGTTCAATGATATACATCATATTCATAGTATCACAAGTGATATCACAAATAAATCTATATGTCAAAATATCTATAACGATTATATTTCAAACAAAAATTTAAAGCATTCATAAAGTGATAAAATTAACAATTATTTGTGGTCCAAAATAACTCAAGAATTAAATTAAAAACTAACTGGACCCATGCCCATAAATAATCTAAATCTTCAGTCTAAAAAAATTTCAAGCATCCAGCAATAACAACCATACAACAATAGGACTCTGTCACTGTACCTGAAAAATTAACTAATTTAGAATTTGACTTATCCAGATCTGACCCGATTCGCAAAACGAACCCAGACCAAAAGTCAACCTAAAACAGCAGCTTGTTGGATTGGTGCAACGGGATACAACAGATCGCTGCACCAAGGGAGCATACTGTCGCCTTGCGCAACACTTAGCATAGCAACATGCTTGTTTCGCACAACAATAGCTTGTTGCAGGCAACAACTGTTGCTTTCTTGGAAACATTGCTGCAAATTTTTTTCTTTTTATTTCCTGCGTCAAATTCTCGAATTCTTCCTCGTTTCAACTTCAATCTTCAATCAATTTACAAGATACAAAATTACAAGAATTACACAATTCCTACGTCTCGTGGGCTCACAATTTTGAATCTAATTGAACAGAAAATTAAATCAAGATGATGGAGTCGTGATTCATCGATCTTGTTACAGGTTTGAAATAACGAATTACATCAAGAATTGGCCACAAATAATTAATTCACAATTTAAAAAGAATTCAATCATTCAATCAACATATAATAAATTATTCCTAGACATCGTTCGACTATGACGTACAATCAAGATTCAGAAATAACAAACACGTGAACAATATAGATTACACTGATACTAGTTGTTAGACATTAAAATTATATAATTCAATAAATATGGTCGTGTAGATGTTCACATGTATGTTATATCAGAATAAATGATTCAAACTTTTACCTAAATTCGATGATCAATTCTTGAATTAATTCTAAATCATGAATTTTCAACTTTTTGGATCAAGAACTTCCAGCATTTTAATTTCAAGAACTTGATATTCTCCAAAGTCAAGACTACATCGGTGGGTAGACATCTTCTTTTAATTAAATCAAGAAACTAATTCTTGATTTGGACAATCAAAAAAAGCAAGAAAATTTTTTCTTTCTTTCTTTTTCTCTCTCCAATGTTTGAACACCATAGAATTATGTAATATAATTTTGTATAATTTGATAGGATGTATAGGTTCCTTCTAATC